TTTAGGGTTTAGGGTTCAGGCAAGGCTTGTGACAGGAATCGTTGCGCTTAGAGACAGAGACCGACAGAGACCTAGCTAGAGACCTTTGCAGTATGGGATTGTTAAGGGCGCCCTGGTATAGAACCGTATAGTACCCTGAAAGGGGACCCTATTGTTTAGTTTTACTTATAAACCCTACCGACAACCTGGGTAAATGCAAAGGATTGGGAGGTTTGGGGTTTAGGGGTTTAAAGCTCAAGCGCACTTCTAGACAATTAGACCGAAGTGTGGACGGCCCAAATCCTGGGACATGAATCATTCAGCAGCCATATGTCGGAACGAAGCCCCGCATGCCCAGGCCGTACCCTAAGATTCAAGAACTCCTGATTGCAGTTATAGTTATAGTACAAAACGCCAAAACTCTACTCTCATTTTAAGACCCTTATGTCAGACCTGGAACAGAGCCCCACCAGTTGGTAGCAGTGTGGATTTAACGGTGTTTAACGTTCTGTGAAGCTTTTGTATACAAGGCGATTTCTTTCTGGCCCTGTAGGAAAGCCCCGAAGCCAATTTCCCTAAACCCTAAACTCTAAACTCTAAACCTGAAGCCCTAAACCCTAAAGCCTAAACCCCTAAACCCTTTCCAAGAGCTGCTTCTGCCAGGATAGCGTTGGACCCCCACGTCTTTAGCCAGCTGTCGCGCAGCGGCTTGCCGAAACGACTCTGAGGACTCACAAAGTGCTGCTACTAGAGGCGCCTTAATAATTACCTATACTATTTTGGGGGGTTCCTTATTATAACTGGAGTATAATAGACCCCCAAACCCTATTCTAAATATGAAGGCCCCTACATTAGGCCCCGACGGCAGCTAACAAATAAACACCGGCTGCCAGAGACTCTCAGCCCCAAGATAGGCCCGTTGAGGCGCTAAAGGCACAAACTGGAACTCCGAGCCCATCGTCTTAAACCCCCAAGGGTTTAGGGTTTAGGGTTTAGGATTTAGGGTTTAGGGTTTAGGGTTTACAAAGCCTAAAATCTCCGTCACACACTCCGACCCCCCGAACCTTGTTTTGCGAGTTGCGAGAGTCGAAATCCTCCAACACGCTGTAGCTGAAGCTAAGCCCAAAGCTGCCCACACCCCAAAACTTGGTCAGCTGGGCGGGTGGGCAAAATCTGAACCCACAGCTCTTGACCTCTGAGCCCTGAACGTAGGTATGTTTATCTGGGCTCTTTGTTGCCTTTTCCTGCACCTTTTTTGGGATTGCACACAAAGTAGTGGTGGCTTAAAGCTACAGTTTCCTGTATTTCCTAGCTTGGTTATGGTGCATTTTCTAGCTTGGGTTTTGCAGGCTATGGTTCATTGGTTTGGCCAGTGCTATGATAGTCTGCCATGCGAGAGGGAACAAAAAACCCTGAACCCTTCAACCCTTCAACCCTAAACCCTTGAAGCCCCAAACCCTAAACCAAAACCCCAAAGTGGCTGAGGCGTGGCCCGTGCGGCGCGGTGGCAGCGAGGGCTGGACCTTTACCGGGTCACGGAGGTCCGAGCTTTCTTGGACGCACGGGGGTTGGGGGTTCAGGGTAGAAGGCTTAAGGTTCGGGGTTTAGGGTTTGGGGTTTGGGGTTTAGGGCTTAGGGCTCAGAGTTTAGGGTTTAGGGTTTGGGGTGTGGGGTTTAGGGTTTAGGGTTTGCTTGAGTCCAGTAGCAAAAGGGCTTAGGGGGACTAGTGATTTAGGGCTTTGGGCTTTGGCATTTCGGGCCCTCCCGGGTTGAGGGCTTTGGACGTCGGGCTCTGGGGGCTCATGATCTGTGGCTTCAAAGTCTCAAGTTGAGGCTTTGGGAGCTTAGCGAAGGTCTGAACCCCAAACCGGAAACCCTGAACTGTTTATGGTTTTGTTGATCGGCGGATGCGAAAGCT